CACAACAAGTCACGTCACGTCAAGCCATTCACGTCACTTCAAGTCAACACTTCGTCACGTCAAGCCAACGTCACGTTACGTCAAGTCACACTACGTGATGTCAAGCCACGCCGCATCACATCGAACCACGTCGCGTCAAGCCATTCACTTCAAGTCAACACTTCGTCACGTCAAGCCAACGTCATGTTACGTCAAGTCACGCTACGTGATGTCAAGCCACGCCGCATGCCACATCATGCCAAGACACGTCAAGCCATTCACATCGCGTCAAGACAACACTTCGTCACGTCAAGCCACGTCACGTCAAACCACCCCTCATCATATCAAGCCACGTCACGTCAAGCCACAATAATGTTTGTTGTTACAATGTGCTAGTATGTTTTTGATTCGAGCTACGTCTAGGGCTTTTTTACTTGGATTTTTATATATTTCTGCTAGCACCAAGGGCTACTTGCTCTCCTGGCGTTTCGATACCGGCTGCTTCTACACTAACTGACTTCTCTCCTCGATTTATGGACGTCCCTACCAGCACACCGGACTTCGCATTTGGATAATCTAAGCATAGGGTGGAAAATAATAGGGTTCGTATACGTTTCATTAAATGCGGGATTGTCCCGTTTACCGAGTTCTGTCCCGTCTCGTAAAACTTGTCGCAACGCCGAAATGTTACATATTTTGCTTCGTCCGATTTTTCGCTTTTAATTGCCGTAGATGAAATAGTTCCCGTGATAGTGCGACAAAAAACAACAAGGGGGTCAAGCGCACTCCATTAAAAATACTACCGCACCATAACACCATTTTGGCATCGCTCCGTCGGGCCTCGTTGCGGTTCAGCCGCCTGGAGCTGACACCCCAGCTGCCCCACGAAGAACAAACCCTCTCAGGGTTTGTAAAATTTCCGAAAAACTGTTCTCGATCTTATTTCAAGATCTGTCTTTAAAGAACAGATTTCTTTAAAGAAAAAATCTATCTTTAATGTGTAGTTGTAGAAAGAAGACAATGAAATAAATGTAAACGTTTGCAATTTTTGAAAGATTATGGATTTCAACAAAAATAATAAATGCACCACTTTTTTAAAACTTACTTCAGGCCTTCCAAAAAATGTTTAGTTCAAAAAATTGGAGTAATTTTTGGCAAAATTTTGAAAATGTTGAGGCTACGTAAAGTACCCCGGGGATGGAGTGGTTTCACGTGAGCGTTAATAAAAATAGCGGTTCAAAATCGCAGGGTCTTGTGTTGGTATTTATCGATCAGGGAATATCAATTTTGAAAAAAAAATCAGCTGAACGATTTAGGCGCAAGAATTGACCACAGAGGAAGGACGGACAGGCTGACGAACGGACAGACAGATAAACAGGCGGGCCGACAAACGGACAGGCAGGACGGAATGAGATTTATTCTCTCCGGACACTGAAACATGTTTTTTCGTGAATTAGATGATCTTCTAATCCCTTAGGGCATAGTTATTTTAATATTTTATAATAATATTAAATAACATTTAATGTTTTAATAAAATTATGCAAAATTTATATTTTTTCACAACAAGGGATATAAAAATATTATTTGCTTGAGATAATAGTTTTTCTGCCACAAACAAAAATCTATTTTTATGGTAAACCCTCCAAGTATACAACTTGTCGAATAATACATTATCTCAATCAATTTGCAGAACCTCATGAAGGGGGAAATACGCTAATGAAGGACCAGTGCCGACGGTGGCAACGACGAACATCTCCGAGTGGCAAGTGATGGGAAACGGTCGAGTTTTGGTGGCTCCCAGCGAGTGCTCAGCGCGCAGTGCTGCCATCTTCCTGCGACCGGGAGCTGTTCAACACCATACACCCGTCATCAATCCCATTCCCTCACGTCCATCTTCACCCTCCCATCCGATAATCACCATTACCAATCCTTGTAACTTTTCCTTGTCCCGAAACATTTCCCCTTTTCAATTTGTACTTATTGATGTTTTGGGTTGAACTGTCCCGTGTGAGTGACATTATTCTGCAACAAGTCACTTCTTTGTTGTCATAAAATTAATTTACAGTCAGTTGAATGGATTTTTTTAACAATCTAATTTATTCTACCTAATATCCTACCCCAAAGATTATTCCTGGGAATCGTATGTTTTAGAGAAGTTTCTGAGGATGCGAACATTTTAATAGGGGCGTGGAAATTTGATTAGAAATGGTATCGGCAGTCAATGCTTAATGTTAGATGGGGACAGGTTTCGGTGCTTGGAATCATGTATGTATATTTCTACTTGGCGCAACAGCCTGTGAACGGGTTCAGGCCTACCGGCGATGTCCTTGCCTCGCGGCCATGGGTTAAGGGGGTAAGGAGGTAATTGTGGTTAGCACACATCCCCACGCCGTATTCCTGTCTTCTCAACCAGAGAAGTGAATTTTCGCATTGTCACACAGCAACATATACTGGGACATTGCAAGGAAAACGCACACTATAATCTTGACTCATCGGGAATCGAACTCGGGGCCGCATAGTGAAAAGCGAACACGCTGACCAACAGCCAGCCATGAGGAAGCTCGAAGGCATCGGTAAGTAGTGAATTAATAATTAGTGATTGGTAAGTAATACGGTCAGGCACGAATTAAAGGTAAATACATTATTTCATCGAGTGTTAATGAAAATAAGAGTGTATCAGAGAAATACAACAAATTATTGGAAAATAAATTGCTCCGTTCAACAAATCCCAATATGTGAACATATCATGAGTACATTGGAAAATTCAAGCTGTAGAATGAAAGTCACATTCAGAAATTGATATCCGTTGAGCAGAAATAGGAAGAAATAGTATTAATTCATTCGACACACATTAATAATTACCCGGTATTATGAGTTATCATGGGGGGGGAGGTATGTACCCAAAGGCGTTTATGGAATTACTAAGGAGTGACATTTATTTGAGGCAATTCCGTATTTCAGTTATACCTAAGTAACTCCGTTGAAACCTTCCTGGGCAAGTTCATCCTAAATCCTAAAATGTTTTTTCTTGTTATTCTTTAATGTTCTATTTATCCATTATAATACATATGCCGTTGTTACTGAATACACTGCGATCTTGCTAAACAAATCGATATATGTGTTGATTACTTTTACTAAACTGGTTTCATTTTACCCTTCAGGTCCATCTCAAGTATATTTTTACTTCTCATCCCTATATTATAGCCGAAAAGTATTGGAATCACCTCAACCTTTCTTTTGATCTGAAACTTCGCACACACTCCAGGATTTAAGTCTATTAACGCTGTTCCAAAAATGTTAATGATTGGTGTAAATGGTGAGGATATACACGCAATTGTGTTTTCGAAATCTGGCGCTCTTAATGGATGGATGAACAGCGGATGTATGTCATGCAAAGCAGTATGCAATTGCAGCTTTTTGAGCTGAAACTTGTTAAAGGCGTCAGACGTGACATCTAAATGTGTCATTACGGGATTCATTAAGATAATTTAATTTTTGGATCCCTTTTTATGGAGTCAAAATGAATAAAAAAAGAATTCTGGAAAAGGGCAGGGAAGAGGGACATGACCCTCCCAAAATTTTTGATATACGGAGTATATCAAATGGGTAACTTCAATAACCTGTTCCTTATCTATTGAATCGCTTCCCCCCGCCTTAATTTGGTGATTGTGACACATATTTTCAATTCATTGCTTGAGAGAAAGCAGTTAGGGAATTGTACTAGCGCATTCCCGACTAGGCTCAAAACCCCATAAATTTATTTACAGTTCTCAGAAACTAAATCCGTACCCTGTAATTATTTCAATAATTTATCGACAGTATGATTTTTTTCTTCTATAATGGTGGCACATGTGGTGCCGAATTAAGTGTATCTCGAAATAATCCATTTGTTCTACATGACATTATATTCCGCTTGTAGAAGACTGTTTCTAAATATGAACCGACGAAATGATGAACCGACCTTGCTCGCTTTGCACCTCTCTCTATCACTCACTCGTCCTCACTCTCTCGCCCTCTATCTCTCTCACTCTCTCTCTCTCTCTCTCTCTCTCTCTCTCTCTCTCACACACACACACACACACTCACTCTTGCTCTCTCTCTATCTCCCGCTCTCTCTTCCTCTGTCAAACTATTCTCCGGCACTTTCACATTTCTCACGTCGTTTTCGAGGTATTTAATCACATTAATTTTATTAATTGTTATTAATAAAAACTAGACAGAGAGACTGAGAGAAACAGAGAAAGACAAAGTCAGACAGGCAGACACAGAGAGACAGACAGAGAAAGACCGACAGACAGAGACAGACGCCGATAGAGACACAGAAGCAGAGACAGAAGCAGACACAGACAGAGCCAGAGACGCAGAAAGTGAAACAAAGAGGGAGACAGAGACCCAGAGAGAGAGAGAGAGAGAGAGACACGAAGAAAGAGACACACGCAGAGGGAGACAGAAAGACACAGAGATAGAGAGGTAGCGAAACAGAGAGAGTGACACGGTGAGGTTTTCTTTTGCACAAGGATTGAATATGAAAAACAAAAACATGCAACGCCTGGTATTTTGTTTCTCCTATTTATATCAAAATTTGTCTTCGAACACATCTGAGTCATTATATTTTATAAAACTCATTTCAAATCGTACAACATTTAGGACAAAACTAAGTATTTTCAAGCAAATATCAATACAAATTTGACAATTATAACTACTTTTCACAGGTGAAATATGTCCGAACAATAAGACTCAATTCGCACAAATTTGCGTAAAAATTATTGTTGCGGAGCCATTGTTGCATTCCATTCTGATATTCCCCGAAAGCTAACATTTTTTCTCGTATTCCTATGTATTTCCGAAATAGTATACTTAGTATAGAGAAAGCTATGTAATGATGCGGAAAATCGACTTCCATAATTCAAATGAAATACACGTTTCGGGGTCCAATAATACAGAATAAGTCTTTTTTGCAAAACGTCTTTCGGTCCATCTTTCTGCCAATCCGTCCTTTCGTGAACACCACTAGCGCCTAAACCATCTGTAGGTTTTTTCCGAATTGAAGAACCCTTGTCTATCAGGCTCGAGTCGAATCATTGAGATTTTGAAAAACATTCTTTAAAATCTGGGAGGACTCTCCGATAATTTCCAAAGTTTTCTCAAAACCTGCTCCATTTTTTTTCTTTAAATTTCTTGTAAGAATAAAGTAAAATACCTTATAAGAGGCGTAGGTATGATTTTCACTGTTAACTCTAACGTTTTGATCATTGCAAAAGTTTGATTTTGTTTCGGCGTCTTTTTATAGCTACAAAATTGAAGGTAGAGATTTTTCCCTCGAATTAAGTTTGTTGTCCATAATTCATTCTTTCATTAAAATCATATATCATCTTTTTTTAAACTTTTGGTAGTTTACGCGAAATATTGAGTACAATATTGAGTACAATCTTCGAACAAAATCATTTTTAAACGATCAGCAATCAGGTTTCCGTTCCGGCAGAAGTACAGGAACCGCGCTACTAAACGTCATTGAAGATCGTATTTATAATATCAAATTTGTCTTCGAACACATCTGAGTCATTATTTTTATAAACTCATTTCAAATCGGTACAAACATTAGGACAAACTAAATTTTCAAGGCAAATATCAATACAATTGACAATTATACTTACTATTTCAAGGGTGAAAATTGTCCGAACACATAAGACTCACTTCGCAACAATTTTGCGTAAAAATTATTGTTGCGAGAGCCTTGTTTGCATTTTCCATTCTGATATTCCCCGAAGCTAACATTTTTTCTCGTATTCATACGTGATTTCCGGAAACTAGTATACTTAGGTATAGGAGAAAGCTATTGTAAATTGATGCGAAATCGACTTTTCCATAATTTCAAATGAAATAACACGGGTTTCGGGGTCACATAAATACAGAATAAGTCTTTTTTTGAAAACGTTCTTTCAGGTCCATCTTTCTGGGCAATCCGTCTTTGTGAACACCAAACTAGCGGCTCTAACATGTGTAGGTTTTTTCCAATTGTGCAGACCCTTGGTCTATTCAGGGGCTTCGCGTGCGAAATCATTGGAGATTTTGAAAAACATTTCTTTAAAATCTGGGGGGACTTCGCGATATTTCAAGTTTTCTCAAAAACCTGCTCCCATTTTTTTTCTTTAAATTTCTTGGTAAGAATAAAGTAAAATACATTTATAAGGGCGGTAGGTATGATTTTCACTGTATAACTCTAACGTTTGATCATTGAAAAAGTTTGATTTTTTGTCTTCGGGGGTCTTTTTATAAGGCTACCACAAATTGGAAGGTAGATGATTTTCCTCGAATAAGTTCTTTGTTCCATAATTCATTCTTTCTATTAAAATCATTTATATCATTTTTTTTAAACTTTTGGAGCTTAGGAATATTAAGTACAAATATTGAGTACAAA